GGCTCAGGTCATGATCCCAGGGTCCTGGGTTCGAGTCCCTCATCGGGCTCCCTGCTCAGTGGGGAGCCTGCTTCTCCCTTTCCCACATCCCCTACTTGTGTTCCCTCTCTCTCTCTCTCTGTCTCTCCATCAAATAAATAAATAAAATCTTTAAAAAAAAGTTATTGAAAAGAGAATCATTAGACCTTTCTATGAAATAGGGAGGAATTTTGCTTACTTGTTTTATAGAAAAAATTTAATTGAAATTTCACCTTTGTGTTCAAAGAATTATATAATACTTAGGTACTTTAGTGGAAAAGACAGACACATAGGGTGCCTGGGTGGCTCAGTTGGTTAAGCGACTGCCTTCGGCTCAGGTCATGATCCTGGAGTCCCGGGATCGAGTCCCGCATCGGGCTCCCTGCTCAGCAGGGAGTCTGCTTCTCCCTCTGACCCTCTTCCCTCTTGTGCTCTCTATCTCTCATTCTCTCTCTCTCAAATAAATAAATAAAATCTTTAAAAAAAAAAAAGACACATAAATGTTCACTATTATTATTGTAACACTATGCCATACGTACTGTCATAAGCTGTATATCTATTTTGATACATGATTTTCATAGCAACCCCATGCCTTGGTACTATTGTTATCGCCATTTTATAGATTGAGGTACCTGAGATTCAGAGAGGTTAATTAATTACCCCAGGTCCACACAACTAATGAGTGGCAGAACTAGAATTTGGACTCTGGGACTACCTCTAAAGTCCATGCTTTTAGACCACTATAGTAGCAGAGAAGGAAGCAGTATCTTAGAAGGGGCTCTGATAGGGGGATGTTCAAAAAGAGCAAAGTAGGTGATACCTAAGTTAGGTTCTGATGGATAAATTTAAAATTTTGGGTTAGTCAAAGTGATAAGGTGGTGCAAGGTATATCTGAGAGAATAATGTGAAAAAGCATGGAGGCATGCTTTTTCACATTAGGAAATAGAATCCATTTCATAAATAGGAAGTTAGAGACATAGGAAATCAGACAAATAAGATATATATGCTATTTGAAAAAAAAACTTTATAAGCAAACTAATAATTAAAAGTACAATATTGGGCGGGGGGTGCCTGAGTGGCTCAGGTGGTTAAGTGTCCAACTCTTGATTTCGACTCCGGTCATGATTTCAGGGTCGTGAGATCGAGCCCTGCCTCGGGCTCTGCACTGAGTGTGGAGCCCGCTTGGGATTCTCTCTCTCTCCTTTTCCCTCTGCTTCTCCCCCTCCCTCCCTCTCTTTCTCTCTCTCCCCCCAATCTCTAAAAAAAAAAAAAAAGAAAAGAAAAAAAAAGTACAATATTGAGTTCTATAAGACAGAGTTGCATTTTGTTGCATTTAAAAGAGCTTACAAGGTCAGTGAAGGAAAGACCAAATAAGCTAGCTTCAAAAGTATGTTAATCTAGCATTATGTTAAAGTAAACTGAGTGAGCCGTTTTATTTTTGAAATTTTATCTAACAGTGTTAATAAGAATAGTAAAAAAACACCTTTCTACAGAGTACTTTGGACTTGCAATATATGACTGTAAACTTCAGGTGGTCACATATCTTAATCTTTTTCTTCTTATTGCTATAGCCCTGGTACTAGTGCCCAACAAAGCGAATAGGTTATACCTAATAAATATTTTCAGATGAAGGAATGAATATAAAGTCTATAAAAAAATGTTCATAACTTTTATCCAGAATTTAAGGAAATAATTAGGGACATGTATAAAAATAACTTAAAGGAATTCATCAGTGTAACACATAAAATTGAAAGCATTCTGTATGTTTAAGCAATAGAGATTTACTAAATGCATTGCAGTACATCAGTAAACTGGACTGGGTTGCAGGGGTTTAAATAATGTAGAAGATTTAATGACATGAAAATACACTACATATGAATAGGTTAAAAAACAATATCCTGTTTTGCAAAAGTATATATATATATATGTGTGTGTTTTTTTTTAAAGATTTTATTTATTCATTTGTGAGAGAGACAGAGAACAAGCAGAGGGAGAGGCAGAGGGAGAGGGAGAAGCAGACTCCCTGCTGAGCAAGGAGCCTGATGTGGGACTCGATCCCAGGACCCTGGGATC